CAAGCAGAGTTGATGTTATCAATAGTTTTTCTTCCATGTAACAAGAGTCAAGTGTCTGTGCCAGTAACCAGTCAATATCTGTGTCCTGATTAGGTAGTTATGAAGTAGAGCATGTGGCAGGGAACATTCTATTAGAAAGCATACATGAGCATTATGTCGAAAATAAGTATGATGATTTTGTCATACTAGTTTTCTCTCAACTCACAATCACTGGAAATGTGACACAGATGTCAGTGAAATGTCAATGTCATTTTGAAACAGTCTCAGCCTTTTTTGTCAGGTCAAGAAAGAAACCTTGGATGTGATTTTGTTGCCATGGACAATTATGTTTGGAACTACCTTTGTTCACCTGGCACATTATGGCTATAAAGGAGATGAAGTTAGAATTGGAATACTGTCAGTTTTTGACATATGTGGTGTACTCCAACTAAGCCAGTTAACTACATCATGGATTATTTCTGAACTTGACAAAAATGGCAGTGATGTTACGATTCATAAAAGTGTGTCACATTGGCAAGGCGGGTGCACTTTCTTATAATGATTTCAGGTATATTTGCCAGATAATGGCTGAAATATCTTCCAGAATTAATATAGTCCATGTAGAGCAGCAAGGTGCATGAAATCATATGCTAAGTGTCCATTCGATGAAAGAGAAGGATAACCTCAACATTATTTAATCATTAAATGTTTTAAATATTGATGCTTGTATAAAGTGATTAGTTATGTTTTTCTTCATGCACGAAATATATGCAGTAAATGCTGTTTTATGTGGAGAACAAAATCGTTTCATGTAATTATAATGTTAGATTTGGAAACAATGGGTGGATCCGTTGCTAGCTTGCTGGACTGCTATGCAGAAGTATGAAATTAATTCTCAATTAATTGGATGTGGATTTTTCCCCCTTAGGCAATACACTTGAATTGCATTGCCCAATAAAAGTCTAATGTTCTTATGCATCACGTCTTTGTATGTGGGGAATTATTTTATAATTCTCTTTGTTGAAATTACTTCAAACTTAATTTTTTGTATCATAGGTCATATTTGGAATGAACCACAATTATTTACTGTCTCTGGTATATTGTCAGATATTGCCTTATGATAGCTAATGATCATTGCTAAAAAAATGAGTAAAATAACAAATTGTTCATAAAATGAATAAAATATTTAATTGCTAAATAAGTGAGTAAAATATTAACTGTTCCATTGGCCTAGTGGTTAAAGCATCTGTCTCAGATGCGGGAGGTCGTGGGGTTTGATCCCCAGCCAAGTATACCAATGACTTACAAAATGATACTAACAGCCGCCTTGCTTGGCGCTCAGCATTAAGAGGTTAGTGTTAGGACTGGTTGGCCTGGTGTCAGGATAATGTGATTGGGTGGAACATGATGCTACATGTCTTAGGCATGATGCCCCAGTGCTAGACATCACTATAAACTGCCACACTGCAGACATCATAGCAATATGATTGAAAAATTGTTAAAGCTATCACACACACACAAACACACACACAGTAAAATGATACAAAATTTGCTTGTAAAGAAATTGTTTCATATTTGAAGTTTTATTATAAAGGACCAGAATTTCTCATCTTACCATTGTTAGACCATAGCTTTCCTGTTAGTTGAAACCCACATTTTTAATAACTATTTCCACCATACAAGATCTCCTTACACAGAAAATGTTTCAGAGAAATCTCTTTAGTATATTTTAATTTTTTTGTGGTTTTTATTTTATCTGCATAAGTTTGATGCAACATATCATTTTCTGCCAGTGGCTTTAACAACCTTAACTTTTGGTCTTAAATTTTCTGTTCAAAATTTTTCAAGTAGAAGTACATTATATTACAGATGCTGATTAGACACCAATATTTTAAATTTATTCATTTTCTAGCGTTACAGATTAGACTTCTAATAACTCTTCTATTTTCTTTTAATTATGTCGGTACAACTTGTAATTTAATAATTTTGCTTATTTTTAATAATATCTATGCATTTTCATTGGTCTGGTACATATAGTCCTGCAAGAATGGGGCTTAGAATAATGGTTAGAGAAGAAGAAGAAAAAAATCAAAGTGATAGTTTTTTGCTTTTTTTGGTTGCAAAGACATCAGATTGTGCAATATTTAGCTGCGCCAGTTGAATGTTCAGCTAAGGCATTCAACTCTTGCTTGCATTGGGTAATTTGAGATTATTGTGGACTTTGTTTTATCTTAATTCCATGTAGTAATGCCTTAATGAGCTTTTTGAGATAATATTTATTTAATCCAGCAGTCCCCAAACTCAGATCACAAACCAGATCATTGGTGTGGAAAGAGGTGCAGAGTTAAAGGTTTTTAGAGTTCATCATCAGAAGTCATATGGTCACTTCAGGGTCAAGAGGTCCTGTTGGTGACCATTTTAGGCTTTCAGCAAAGAAAAGGTTGGGAACCACTGATTTAGTCTTTACATACCATACATGTTCACATAGTAGGATCCAAATGTAAACTGCATAGACCCAGATCTGTTGCTGTAGAATGTGCAGGCATATTTGGTAAGCAGTTCACTATGACTAATCAGTCAAACAAACATCATTTCCTAATCTGTCTGTGCTATATGAGACAGGAGACTTGGATCTGTGTTGTTTACAGTTAGACCTGATGTTTTTGTGAGTATATATGGTACAGATCTTAGTATTCATATGATTTTGTATTGTTTCAGTGGCTTGTGCTCTTAAATTATGTGTATATATGTATTTTGTATATATGTTTATATGAATGTATTTTGTATATATGCAGTATTTTATATGTATTTATTTTTTATATCTGTATTTGATATATATTTGTTTTGTATATATGTAGTATTTGTATTTAAAGTTTTTCAGAACATAGTTTTTCTGTGATATTAGGCCACTGTTTTATACATATATTGTTACAACACTATGGTCATAAACTAAATAACAGAAAGAAGCAAAAGCAACAAGTTTTGTAAAACGTAACAAATAATTTAATTATCAAAGTTATAAATGAATCTGTTAGAGGAACTTGAAGTATTATGAAGTAAATCCAAAATTCACACAAGAGTTCTTTTAAAGTCCAAAAGAATGAAAGGTTTCATATAAACTTCAGAACCAGAAATGTCCACCAAAAATCATGACATTGTTAAAATGAGTAACTCACAGTAGTTCCAGAATAATAATATAAACCAAAAATGAATACTTTCTATTTTCAATTAACAGTCCAAACATATATTTTTTCACTCAAATAATATTTCAGCACAGCATAAAACATGTTTGCAGAATTGATGTTATAGCAGGAACACAAGAAACAAGACTGACTCTATAAATGAATTTTGATATCTCAGTTCTCTCCTTATACAACTTTGATTATGACTATGTCACATTATTTATGACTGAAAAAAAAATGATGTGGGGTGGGTGTTTACAGTATATTTGCTAAAAGTTATATTTTTTAAGATTGAAAGAAAAACACTGGTAATAACTTTTTTACTCCACTAATTGCATGTAAATGATCATTAAATGATCACTTAACTGAGAAAAAACTTGCTCTATGTCTTCATGGGTGTGCCCAACCATCAGAAATGAAACCTTTACCTTTTGAAAAATCCTTTTTTCAACGGGTAGTGACAGAAATACCAGCATGTACCTGAAATGAAAGCAAAATTATAATTTTACAAATGTGAAATTTTATATATATATATATATATATATATATATATATATATATATATATATATATATATATATATATAAAACACATCATATGTTCTATTAAAATCACAAACAGTAGCTACTGTGGGTCGGTAGTTCTTTCCATGGATTTCCTGGTTTCTTCCTCCACCATTAATACTGGCTGCCATATATAGCCTATTGTGTGCTGAAAAATGGTGTTAAGCCCCAGAACAACATCAACAACATACAAAAAGCACATACTATCATTTTCAATGCATTACATCAACTTTCTTTTTAACAAAACTTTAAAAGCCATATTAATTATTGTATGCTGTATAATACAAAACACATTTCTAATAATCATTATCGCTTCATAGTCATCTGTATTTATTTTTTTATTATTAATAACATTTTGGTGTTGTGAGTGAATAATGCAATAGGAAGGAACATAAATTGGCAAAATAAACCTCACCTGTTTTTGTTTTCTCTGAAACAGTTGTCCATTTGAAGGTGTAAAACTTTGGGCCAACTAACTTTCAACATCAAAAATACCTTCAGTAAAATTATCATCAGATTACTTGAATGGTTCCATTGACACATATCAAAGAAGCCATATGTTCTGATTCCATGTACAATGACACCAACGAAGTACATCTTAAGCTTCCACATGAAAGTTGTGTATTTGCTGGCATACACAAAATGTGGAACATATCTTACTTTGATCAATTCTATTAATAATAACTGACAGGTGTTTTGATGGGTATGATCTGACACCTTTGTCATATATCTATAATACTTTTGTCTTTCAGCACTGCAAATAAATGATTACAATTGATGGATGAGTAAACATATTGTCATTTCCTGAGTATTGTTACTTACATTCATTTAAATGCTTTAAATGAAAAAAATATTTTTTCAATTAAATAACACACAGATTAATTCATTAAAATTATATCATTTATATTACATATAAATTGAAATATTGCATTTGTTCATTAACAACAACGATTCAGAGTCATTGCATACTCTTGTTTACTTGTTACATTATTTAAGGATTGACTGTTAAATTTTTTACTTAGTATGAGCCAAAAATATGCTGTGCAAAGTGTATGAGCCAGGAAGCCAATGATTTCTATGCAATTTAATGCCATTTGTTGGCTTTTCCTGCTTCTTCTCAGCTGTTTTGGTACCCCAAGTCCTCTGGTGTCAGCTAGGGGTTTCTTCCCTGTCTGATATACCCTCCCCCCATTAATATGCTACTGATGAAATTCAACAGCATAAACAGTTAAATAAATTCTAAGCTTTAGTAACATACAACATATGACCAATTTCTGCATAGCTCAGTTGGTTAGAGTGTCGTACTAATAATGTGAAAAGTGTGGGTTCAATTCCCCATATATGGCAACATTTTCTTTAACTATATATGTCTCCTTTTCTTTCATTTTACAAAATAATTTCATAACTTGAGTAATGTGTCTCAGTTTTAGTGATCCTATAATCACTGAGTATATGTACAGAAAAGTTGTGCAGGTGGGTATGGCTTTAAAACAATGTGTTCATATAGGTAAGAACCAAAAATATTCAAAAGGATATGGCTAATCAGACTGATGTAAATTGTAATGGAACAAGAATAATTTAACTATTTATAGTACAAATCAAAAGCTTACATTTGTTCTTCAAACAACAATCCCGTCTGGCCTTCATCAACTCCAGGTCTTTAGTGTCTCTTGTCTTGGTAATCTTATTTTGATATATGTGCATATATTGCACTTGGAAAAACTTGAATTCTGTAAATACAGGGTATACAAATTATGTTAAAAATAAATGCCATAAAATAAGATAAAATAATATTTATTTGAAAATTTATCATGATATTTCTGATATTATTTAACAATATTACTTATAATAAATTCATTGATTTCATTGCATCAAAATAATTAATGATCTTTATATTGATACTAGCACAGGAGTCTACAGTTTTATCAATTAAGCACGACGAAATTTCTGACTACATGAAATCACCTTAACGGTATTATACAAAATCCTGTGATACTAGTCAGGTTTGATGTACTATGTTTTCGGTATGTTTATCGCTTTTGAATCCAAGAGTAGGCTATAATTTGGAGGAAAAAAAATTAAAATTAAATGTAATAACTTCAGAGAGTTTGGTACATCTGTAAAAATCTAATACACTGAAAATTATAAGTTTGGTAATTTTTAACTACTGTTCAAAAATAGTATCAACACATTCCAAGATAATGTTATACAAGACTTTTGAGTATAAAAGCTATCATCAAACTCCAAACTATATATTTCTGAATAAAGTTTATTGTCTGAAAAATCTAAAGGTAAAATACATTTTGAGATTTATAAAATGACAGTGTGGGAAAAGCAGTTTGCCACTTTGAATTGCAAACATACCTTTGGTATTGCAATAAGATACATGTCTTTCCTCCCTAGCCTCATGAAGTGTGATAATGAGACCATCAGATTCTGAGGAATTAAGCCTATCTTCATTTCTTTAAAACAGATTTTCATGCAGCAACTGGGCAGATGAAATTTCTTGGATTCTGTTGATTTTTCTGCATAGTTGTTGGAGCCATGCCATTACTGTTATACTTTTTACACTGCTGTTATTGCGATGTGATTTTGGCAAAATCACTTTCTTTTGGTCTAAACAAGAAACAAAATAAATTGTTATAGGAAAATGTTTCTCAGTATGAATCATGTTATGTGTTGGGTACAGACAATGAAACTGGCCTATATATCCATCTGTAATATTCTTTTCCACTTTGAATGGTACACAGTTGTTTGATAATCTTAATAGTAATTTTGGGTCATGGTTTTAGTACTGGTCTAATATGCATCATCAATCTGTGTCTCTTTTGGAGAAAAAAATACTCCAAAATTTTGTGAAATTATACATGTATAACCACTAATATATTTAAAATTATGCAAAACAATGTCATACACTAGCTTCCTATTTACATTAAACAGTCTTTAAAGAAACTAATGTTTAACATGCATTAAAAAGGGAATAAAAAGGTTAATATTTGTCTTAATTTCTTCCTTATGGCATAAAAGGTTGAGCTTGGTATTTGTAGTTTTAGCTGGAAGGCCACACAACACAGTTTATTGTTCCAATAACATGCAAAAATTTCCAATTCATTTCATTTTCATTGAATCTTAAATAAGGAAAATAGAAATAACAAACATAAATTTAAAAAAATTAGTTATCTAAATTCACATATTTTGAATGCCATTCTACCCCCCTACATCTGCATCTACCTTGAAAAATCCACTAAGATTGGTAACATTTACCCATCCAAATTTGGACAGTATGAACACCGACTGAACTAAATAATCCTACACATTATAAAATGATCATGTTAAGAATTCGGCAGACCAGCTTAAAACTGTAATTTATAGTATAAAACCAGAAGAATGGTCACCCTACAGTATCTGCATGCATTATTTATCAATAATAGAGTGTACAATGGCATACTGTTAAAGAAAAATGAAACAACAACAGGAATAATCAATGTTTGTAATCATTAGCATTGGCTAATGTTTGTACTTGAATTGTGCTGTAAAGACGAACAAATAAGTGTCTTATTTGGATAATGAAAATGTGTGATGTTTAAATATGTTTAATGCATCACATTCTCTAATTACTTGCTTTTATATTTTTACATGGAATGTGTCCAGTAGATGTTTTGCGGCCACTGTTTCTGTTCATAGTTTGACTTCATTTAATGATTCCCCTGCCATCAATAAGTCAGCCTCACATAGTGAGGCCACATGCAACATTGTGGTGCAGCATATAGTGGCAAGAAGCATATCAACCGGAACAATTTTATGTCTCTAACATGTGTTTCATTAAGGTAAATACTTGCTTACACATCGAGTCAAATTTTCAAAAAACAAGAAAGATACAGATCCGCCATATCACAGTGTGCAAGCAGATTATTGTATATGTTGTGTGTTTTACTCTCAGCAAACTGCACAGAAGCAGATCAACTGGCACATTATGCCACAGCAGACCTAGGTCAGTGCAATTTGCAGTTGAACTCATCTTACAAGCAAGTATCTGTGGTACTTTTGCTGCGTATTGTATTTTCACCTCTGCCATTTATGTCAGAATCTTCATCCATGAGTCCTATTTTTGGTTCTGTTTCACACAATAATTATAATACATAAATGTTGTTAACAAATATATCATCATTTTCTTTAAGAGAAATTTGCTGTTTAACCTGCATATCAAACAGTAACTGGAAATATTTTTTCTTTAAATTTTTATGACATATTTTCAGATATAAACTTATATCCAAGGATAATCAAGGTGATATTATGAGTTAATATTTAAAATACTTCATGATTGAAAACACATAATTTATTTACTATCATGACATGATATTCACATCACACTAATTAAAATGGTAAGATAAGACACATATTGAATGCTTAAAGTAATTACTTTTTAAAGACATGTCAAAGGAACTTAATATTGACATTTTACAAAGCAGTATAATATCATGATGTTTTACCAGAATAAGGTTAGAAAGTCTCATCTCATACAAAGACAAGATTAGGATCTCTTACCTTATACCAGAAAAAGTTCAGAAAGTCTGTTACAAATACAAGACTAGGATGTCTTTATACCAGAATAAGTTTATCAAGTCTATATTTCTACAAGAATAAGCATAGCGTGTCTTACCCTATACCAGAATAAGGTTAAATATTATAATATTATATGAGTATAATATTAGGATCTCTCACTGTATACCAGAATAAGCATAAAGTGTCTTACCTTATACTAGAATAAGGTTAGATAGTATAATGTTATTTATGTATTATATCATGGTTTCTTACTCTATACCAAAATAAGCAGTGTCTTACCCTATACCAGAATACGGTTAGATAGTATAATGTTATTTAAGTATTATATCATGGTTTCTTACTCTATACCAAAATAAGCAGTGTCTTACCCTATAACAGAATACGTTTAGATAGTGTAATGTTATTTAAGTATTATATCATGGTTTCTTACTCTATACCAAAATAAGCAGTGTCTTACCCTATAACAGAATACGTTTAGATAGTGTAATGTTATTTAAGTATTATATCATGGTTTCTTACTCTATACCAAAATAAGCAGTGTCTTACCCTATAACAGAATACGTTTAGATAGTGTAATGTTATTTAAGTATTATATCATGGTTTCTTACTCTATACCAAAATAAGCAGTGTCTTACCCTATAACAGAATACGTTTAGATAGTGTAATGTTATTTAAGTATTATATCATGGTTTCTTACTCTATACCAAAACAAACAGTGTCTTACCCTATACCAGAATACGGTTAGATAGTATAATGTTATTTAAGTATTATATCATGGTTTCTTACTCTATACCAAAATAAGCATAAAGTGTCTTACCCTATACCAGAATACGGTTAGATAGTATAATGTTATTTAAGTATTATATCATGGTTTCTTACTCTATACCAAAATAAGCAGTGTCTTACCCTATACCAGAATACGGTTAGATAGTATCATCTTATACATATACAAGCATAGCGTGTATTACCCTATATAAAAATAAGCTTAGAAAGAATATTATACAAGTAAAAGCAGTATTTTACCCTTTACTAGAATAAGGTTTGAATGCCACATTATAAAATAGAGTATATAAAATAGAGTATTGAACTTGTACCATTTATAAATTTGATTATTTGAAATTGACAAATTCAGATTCTGAAAAATAAATAAATTTCTGAGGCATTATTTCTGAAATTTCTTTATTATATTTTGGTGGTATTACTTAAGTTTAGTGCAATTGTGCTATAATTCAAATCAAAGGTATACTTCATTTAGTGCAAGTCAAAATCTTCAGTGTAAAAGTGGTGGCACTGTGATGTAAGCATGTTATAACCTTAATGTGTGAGTTGAACCAAACATTATCATAGTTCATTCTTGTTATGCTGGGAGCACAGTTTTTAACAAGTTAGGTATTTACATTTTCAAAGCAAAATAAAATATAATTACTGGTGCATAGATAAAATATTTTGATGTAATAATGCTTAAACAATGAATAATAAACTGAAGACAAAAGCAATAGGTCTACTATTGTAAATGCTTACAGCAACCCACTAATTGCTCAACTCTTGTCATCGATCAAATTATGCCCATATGAATTAGGTAGAAATAAAAAGGCAATAGATGAAATTAAATATATTTATTGACTTTTAAAACAAATTATGTCAGTGTATAACATCCCCATGTAATAATTCATGACGGTAGTTCCTTAACAACCACTGTCACTTCTTTTAAATGTTGTTTTAATTGAGAAAATACATTGATGGATTAGTAGAAAAAATGTTGATGGTGTCCCAAGACTTATGGTACA